TCCTACATGATGTTACACACTAATGAGTCTCTAATAGAAAACTAATACTTGTATACTTGCTACTACAATAGAATTATGCCAATATTGAGTCAAAATTTAATATTGTTAAGTTTCAAACATTTTCTGAAATGGTGAAATTTTATAACTCATGTGATTAACATAATTTTGGATATTATTTTCCAGATTTTTGTAATATTAATTGAGGGTATTTCAATACATTTTCATTCCAGATACAGTAGAGGTTTTCCATAAATTTTCTCTTGAATTTTTGATGTGATTAATTATTTTTCCCATATTTTAAACCTTCATAACAACATAAATTCATGAAAAATAGTATCCAGATGATAAAAATTCTCAAACTTTTTATAATACTGCCATTAAACATACTTAAGCTAGGAAAAATATAAAAATGGGTTTCTAAATAGTTTAACCTGATTTTATGATTTTTGTGCATTTATTCTAACAAAAATGGAAATAAATAGAAGACGGTTTCCAAAATTGCCCAAACTTTTTGTAACACTGTTATTATACATGTAGAAGCTGTGAAAAAAATAAAAGATATTTTTCAATTTGTTTTGATATTTTTCTTTGTTTTATTCTCTTGAATAATCATTAATTGGTGAATAATTATCAAACAGTTAAGGTAAATTACCAAAATTTTTGTAAACTTCATTTACATTGTACATAATCCGGGAAAAATACCAATGGTGATTTTTATATACTGTAATCCAATTTTGTGGATTCAAGTGTATTTAATCTTAGAAAATAGAAGAAAAATAACATACTGAATAGAAAAATTATCCAAATTTTTATCTAGAGTTCTAATATATTATAAGGTCTTCTAGTAAATTTCATGAATTTTGGATTAGTAGAACTAATTTCCCATTATTAGTCCATTATAAATACAAAAATCGGGGAAAAATATGTATGCATTATGAAAAATTCTGAAAATATTTTTCTAAGTATTCCACATGAGGTAGGATCTGCGAAAAATATTATATAGCCTTTTCACATTCCCTAAAATGGTTTTATGATTTATTTTAATTAAATAAAAATGAAAATTCAAAACCATACTAAACAGTTACCAAAATCGATGAAACTTACTGAGATGTCATCATTTGCTTTAGGGGTCATTCACGAATTTACCTAGGATTTATAGACCTCATAAAGTATTTTATATGAATTATTGCCCTATTTTCTTGCAATGATAATAATAATTCGAGAAAAATGAATTATTTTCTGGAAATTTGTAGAACTTCTCATTTTGTTGCTGGAATTCTTGGAAAAATCGGATTTGATCAGAAAAGAAGTTTTAGATATTTATTTGGAAATAAATAATTCATGAACATATTTGAAAGCTTTTAACAACAAACTTTGATCATCAAGCATCTAGGCTTGAAGATCATCACATGCATGTTGTTTTGAAGGCCATTCATGAGTTTGAAATGGTCAAAAATCGTTTTGGAAAGAAAACTTAGGGTGCATTTGGTGATTTTCCACCAAAACTTGTAGAAAAGTGCATTTCCATGATTTTGACTTAGGTTTAGGTCATGGAACTTCACCATCTAGAACATGCATGTTGTTTTTGGGTGAAATCCTACCACCATCATCATCAAAACCATGAGTGTGTGTGTGTGTGTATGTTTATGTGTTCATGATCTTTTATTAGAATGGAGTAGAAGATGGAGAGAATCCAAGAAAAATAGTAAACTTTGAAGGAATAATGAAGTAGAAATCGATTTTACCTTCAAGAACACCACAAGATGATGAAAATTTCGAGTTTAAGGAGTGTTCTTGGGTCCTATTTTCTGTAAATTTCGTGGTTTAGAGGGTGGAGAAGAGAGAAATGGAGTGGTGAAGGTAGAGAGAAATGAGAGATAATGAATGAGAAGGTGGAATGTGAGAGAGAAGAAAAAATGATTATGTGTATGTTAGGAAGAGAGGGAGTTTCTTGGGAGAGGGGCGCACGAAATCTTGGGTGTGTGCGGCTTCCTCTCTCTTGTTTCTTTTATAAAAATATCAAACTTTTTATAAAATGTGCACGTTAACCTAGTTTTATGCATAAAACTCTTGATTTTTCACTTATAAATCAAGGGTAAATGTTAATAACTTAATTTTTATTTTCCTTGATTGTATTTCATAATAACTATTATGAATAGATAATATTATAAGGTTCTTAATTATTTTTATAGGATTTTTAAGGTTAAAGTTTATAAATATGAGTTTTATGGCTTTAAGGGTTTTGGAGTTTAATACATCTATGGATATCAAAATAAATTGAATCTTTGAGACTTCAAATTATTTTTGTGTTTCCTAACTCTTATTCAAGTTAGAAATAATGTTTGTAATTTATTTTTATTGGTTTATTGGCATTCTATGTAGTGATTCCGAGATTCATGCAAAATTGAAGAATCAAGTATACTAGTCTTAGTTTTCAACTTTGACTTAAGTTCCAACGAGACTCAGACCTAATTTCTACTACTAGGTCAAATTCATGATGTGTGTATATGATTCATGAAAAGGTGTTCAAGTCAAGGAATGACCCAAATTTGAATAGTTGTTACACTTAAAGTAACTATAGAAGTCACGTATCAATGTGGAATCTAAGTACACTATCCTTCAATTCTACTTGTTTCCCAGTTTCTATTAGGTTATAACTTAGCTTCTAGTTACTAAGTCTAGTATGTGTCGTGCCTACACGTGCAACTAAGTTTATCAATTCTTGAACCGACAAGAATTTTGACGGTTGTCACAACTTTATTCCTTAGTCACACTATGTATTTTGAGTCTGTTGAGGGCGCTACTATAAATAGTCCTATGATCTTGAGTGTTGGTAAGAGCGAGTTTATACATTGCCAAACTTGTACACTTAATATTACCTTCTAGACATCAAATGAGCTTAACATAATTATTTACATTTTTTGTTCTTACGATTACCATTTGATTCATGTTGATTGTTCTTAACTTCTCAATGTCATTTTCATGGGATCCTACAATTGTAATTGTCACCTTCCTCACATACATTTTTCAACATAAGACGTTTTGATGAAAACGAGACTTTGGGACTGAATTTGCAAAAAACGACGTTTTATAGTTTAAAATTTTATTTTTAATGGTTTTTAAAAATAAAACCAAAAGAGGGGTGTTTCACATACAATAGACGATTCCACAAGATAAAAGGTCATTGCATACTATGTACTGATTCAGATGTATACCATACAAACAAATAGATAGTATATGTAGTGATGCACCCTCACATAATGAAAATATTGTTAAGATTTTGTTGGGCATATTACCAAAACCCACCATTACCACTTAGGTGTACGTAATGATAGACACATATTTCGATTTGGTTAAAGTCTCCATGTGTATAGATGTAAAATAAAGGAAGTACCTGCGTACACCCATCCTTTTTGGACTATTGCATGGACGAAAATATTGAGTGCAAAATTTCAATATTGTTTGCTCAGCATTATCTCGTCTATCGAGTGGTGATGAATATTTGGATGCTTTTAAATGGGGACATTAAGTACGGGTGGTTAGGTTGTGATGTAAGTTGTTTATGTTTGGTTGTTATCATTATACAATAAACATTTACTTAGGTTATTTACCCTCTTTTATTCATGTGTTATCGGCAACAAAATATGCTATGGATATCTTTGCTTTTAGAGAAAAGGAATAATAATGCTCGTGGGATAGTTTTACCGTATGCTGCTTTAAGCACTGACGTAAAGGATCGGCATGAGATGGCTGATGTAAGCCTTTACCCGATATGGTCTAAATGTGATGCGGTATACTTGTGTTTATATTACATAACATAAGTATTAGCCTGATATAGCGAAATGTAGTCTAGTCGTATGTTATTTCCAACCATTTGTGCAGATATACATTTCCATAAATGTAAAGAATGCCCATTGGTTTTTCGGGGTTTTGGATTTTTGGTTGTTTACACTCGTTGTCTACAATAGTTCATGGTTTAGTGATTATTGTTCAGAAACCGCAAACTGGTTTATAGCTATACAAGCATGTATCCATAAAATCTTTGTGGCTACCCAAACTTATTTATAGCTATAAAAGCATGTATACATAAAGTAGCATCAAACATAGCAACACAGGTAGTAATGGTTCGTCGGAGTTAGTAATAGTGGTGACTAGAGTAAGTTTCAGTAAGTTTCTTTGTAACATAGCTGTGAGGTTCTCCGATAAGAGAAATGTATCACGATGGAGGTTAGAACACATTCCTAATATGAGGGTTTCAGAGTTGTTGATTGAGCAAGTGTGGCCGGAGACGGTGAATACATGGAGGCTAGAGTTTGAACACGGCGACGATTTGTAGGGTGTAAAAATGAAAGAAATGGCTAGGGTTTGAACATGTCGGCCACGAGTTATGTGGTCGAGGAAGGAAATTGGTGGTAGTGGCATCTTGCCGAGTTATGTGGCCGGGGAAGTAAATTGGTGGTAGTTGCATCTTGCCAAAAAGAGAAGGGTCGGGGACACATGGAATAGGAAAGACATAATGGGGCTTGGTAAAGGGGTTAAGGTTTTTTAGGTTAATAATTTGAATAAAATAAATATACAAATAAAAATCCAAAATAAAGTGCAAAATAGTAACATTTTAACATATGTACATTAACACCTGCTAAAAGGAGGGACGAAATCCATAACTAGATGAAAAGGGAAATTTTTGTAATTTTGAAATCACAAGCGCTGGAACCGCAAAAATCAGCAAACAATGGAAACCAAACTTGCATATTACACTACTAAAAAAGCGCTTTTTCCGAGGGACACTTTCCTCGGAAATTCCTAGGAAAACGGCGTTTCCGAGGAAATGCCGAGAAAATCTTGTGCGTAGGTAAAACCCTCCTAGGAAATGTTTTGTAAGGGATTTCCGAGGAACTTTCGAACGAATTTCCTAGGAAATAGTTATGTTGGAAGTACCGAGGGTTTTCGTAGGATGTTTATTTCCGAGGAACCTCCTAGAATGTTTATTTCCGACGAATCTATGAGGAAACTTTATTTCCGAGGAAGTTTATTTCCGGTGAATTTCCGAGGAAGTTTATTTCCGACAAATCTCCGAGGATTATTTCTGAGAAACATGTTTGTTGATAGCTTTTCGTGACACTTTTTCGTGACAGAAATTCTAGGAATTTCAGAGAAACACGGCAGCTATTAAAAAAAACTAGAAAAACACAAGAAAAAAAAATAGAAACAAAAAAAATCAGCCTAAAATGCAGAAAAAAAAAGCTAATACAAAAAAATTAAGTTCATTTCATATATAGAAAAGTTATACAAACGTTTACACTTTAGAACAAAAGTTTCAACAATCGTGTAAACCAAAAACATAATATAGAAGTCTTAAAAACGTACAAACGTTCACAACATCTAACGTCATATCGTCTCATGAACTCGAGCATTTCCGCCATTTGTTTTTCCATTTGTGCTAGTCTTTCGGCCATTTCACCATTTTGTCGGGCCAATTCGGCATGAGCTTGTTCCAATTCCAGGACCTAAAAAATGTTAAAAGAAACATACATATGTTAGTAATATGAAAAAAATTAGTAAAAACAAAGTATATATTAACATTTTTATCTGTTATAGCAACATACATTTCACTAATAAATGGAATGAACTTAAATTTTCTTATTTACAATAGCAAAACATTATCATTTTTTATATATAATAGCACCATACTTTTATTTTCTATCCATTATAGCATTTTACCTTTTTTTCATAATACCAACGTACTTTAATTGTTATTTATTACCAAAGACCGTATACTTCTATGTTTTTTAAATAATAGCAACAACTTTATTTTATCCATAATAGCAATAAACTTGATTTTTTATCTATAATAACATCATACTTTATCTACTTTACATTTTTTATTTATATGTCAATGACAAATACCCGTTGTTGTGACTGTAGTCAGAAGAGGTCGGTTTGTTCCCGTTGGATGATGTGCCCGTGACAACGAAGTGTAGATTTGAACATCCTACCCCGTAAATACGTCTGCATTTTCCTATCCCTTCTTGTGCTTGCACCCACAAGTCTGATGTTGAGTTAGATCATCCCCATTGTATCTCTCCTACAATTTATCAAAACAAAACGACTGTTATTATTGTACCACTTGAAGTTGAGGCACTATTTATCTAAAAAGGAAAACATAAATTACACATATTGCTCCGGCAGTAGGTGTACAAAACTCCAACTTTTGAATTATATTATAATCTTTAGCCTTGAATTTTTTCTTGGCCTCTGCAGTAAGGTGGGTAATAAGAACAAGTTCCAGAAATGTAGGGATACACTTCAATTCCTTTTGCTACATAAAACACATAGTATAATTAGTATAATCTGTGATTAAGTAAAACCAATTACTAAATTATATGAATATTGATTCGCATAATTACCAATTCCAGTCGATACTATAGTAACCCCTGGATCCCTTGTATGTCTCTAAAATGTACCGGTGTTGTCACCGCTCATACGGTTGACCCTCCCGGCCGCCGACCTCTTTCTCCGAGTATCTGTGTCCAATACTATAAAAAGAATATGTAGGATAATATATAAAAGAAAAAAATAATAAAAAACAATAATATTACACAAATCCTTCCATACGTCCTCATTGAAATTAATAGGCTTAAAATCACGCATGATTGCAATGACATTATATGTGTTCGGGATGTTGTGACCTGCCGCTCGAGCTCTATTTGTAGATTCATGTCGATATTCACTCATTATGTCTGAATAACGAACTTGCACCACACTTCTAAATCCACTTTCGATCATGCCTTCATTTAGCGAATCCCACCGATATTATTTCTATTAAAAAAAAGAAACTAAAGCTACAACAGTGAAATATAACCAAATAAGTATTTTTATAATATGAGTCCACAACATAAATTTAACTGTTAAAATGACATACTTTTTCCCGAACTTCTCAAGATATGGCATGTTATCGCCATATCTATGAGGAGTATCTACGACATTCGAGCCGCGCTGCGTATCATCATCTTTTTCTTCTTCTTCTTTAGAATCATTGTCAGGGTCGATGCCAAAATTGTGGGCCTCGTGTACACGAAGACGTTAAACTATCCTTTGTGTATCACCCATTTGATTATATATAACAACATCGCTAGTACTGCCAGCGTATCCACGGCCTAAGTTCTCGGCATCACGAACACTCAACGGTGTAAGCCGTGTACATCCCTGTCACTGTTGCTAATTAGGACTGGAGTCTTGAGGCCGGCTACCAGTACTGTCACGGCCACAGGCAGAGTCGTGCGGTCAACCACCAGTACTATCACCACCACAAGCAGAGTCATGCCGTCGATTACTAGTATTGTCACGACCACGAGCAGCAGAGTCATGTGATCGAGGTTGCCTTCCACGACTACCTGACATAATGTGTGTATCGTGCATTTGATTGAACAAGAACGTTTAGATATTAATATGATAAATATTATATAATTTAAAGTGAACATACCAATATGATAAATCTCACATAATTTAAACTGGAAAACAACAAACAATGTTCCATTTGATTGCACACACACCAGCACCAAACGTGGCAGCCTTTAAACAAAGCTTCCATTTAACTTTTTTTCTTTTTTTTTTGCATTATTGAATTGAGATTCCAGGAAAATTAGATGTAGCTAACACTTTTTTTTGCACGCACACTAGCACCAAACGCAGTTGTCATTTAACTTGTGCAAGCTTAAATTTTTTTATTTTTATATAAAACTTTGTATTCACTACTAGAAACATAACCTTCAGCGACGGAATTAGCTACGGATTCTATCCGTAGCTAATTAGTGATGGATTACCGAGGGATCAGCGACGGAACGCACAAATATTTCGAGCAAAATAGTTATAGACTTTTAGAGAGGTATTACCGAGGGATCAACAACTGAATTGCAAGAATTTATCGACAAAATCGCTCCCTCGCTGATCCGTCGCAAATTAAAACATTTTAGTGAGGGAACAACGACGGACTAATAAAAATCACACGCCTTTTTTTCCCATCCCTCGCCAATCGCTTACAGAAATGGACTCCTTTTTTTTTCATTCCCCGCTTTTCTTTCTTTTTGCTTTCCCTCGTTTTATTTTCATTCCCAAACTCTAAACAATTTTCTCCAAAAGCCCTAAGCGAGTAATCGACCTCTGTCGCTCAAATTCCTCCTCCGCTCGGAAAATCACCTCCACCACCGTCCACCTGCGTCTTCTCTCTTTGAAGTATACTTGAAAAGTATAGGAAAACCTCATAAATCACATCATCGCTTGCTTTCCTCTCGGTCCATATGCTTTCCTCGTTGACTCGCCGTTTCCCTGCAACAACAATTGGTCTATTGGTTCATCATTTATCGTAAACTCTAGCCTTCATCACCTTCCTAGTCTGGCTTCTGGTTGTCTATAAGTTCTATTTTCATGTAGCTCTCTTTCTTCTCTTTCATTTTAGATCAAATCATAACTCGTTTTTCTAAGCTCTTGTTAGGATCGAGACACTTAACACACGACTCTAAACACACACAGAGCTCACGAAAAACAAGAACACAAGGATGAACACGAGGGATTTAACGTGGTTCGGTCCTTCTCTGACCTACGTCCACCGGTAACTAGGAATTTACATTTCTTGGTGCTAATCTGCACTCTTTCTGTGTTACACTAGATACAAGTTTTACAAATACAGAATAATCTCTTATATAGAGATGGAAATCAAAAGTAGTCAAAAAACACAACTGGGTCTTCATTCAACAATTGTGGTTTCACAACTTCACATTGTTCCTGCCATTTTTGACCAGCTTTTCTGTGGATTCACACTCAACATTTCTGTGGATTCACACTCAACATTTCTGTGGATTCATACTCAACAATCTCCCACTTGAAGCCACGGAACAATCTTCACCTGTGCTTCAACTGTGCATATGTATTTGATCTTAACTCCTTCCTAGTTACCCTGGCCTTCTCTTCAATTAACCTGAAGGCCAGTTGAAGCTTTCGTTAGCTCCAACACATCAGTCATGGCTAAGTCTGCCACTGACCTGTTCTCTGTCTCCATCGGCTCCCACTGAAATGAACTGCCCGATCCTGGAACATCCTGAGAACAAACGACACTCTCCATGTGAAGCAGATAATATGGAGAGACTTTTACAGATGGAATACTGGTTCTCTTAACCCACTGTGTTCTGGGTATTCTAGCTGAAGCACAACCCTTGCTCCCACTGCTATGAATGCCCTTGACTGGTTTTTCTGAACCGTTCCAAACACGTTCAACCTGAATCTGACCTGTGACTCTGGGTTTGCCATCTACAAAGCAAACCTTCTTCTGTCCACGAGACTCTATGAACCGGATTTTGTTTTTCTTCTGAACTGGGACGGTTACTCCCTCAGATGGTAATCTGACCATATATAATGAACCCCTCTTATGTCCACGAGCTATTACAAGATTTCCTTTGACAACCTTCCACTGCCCATTCCTGAACTTAACCTCGTGTCCCTGTTCATCCAACTGCCCAACAGAAATCAACTGTTTCTTCAGACTTGGAATTACCCAGACATCCTTCAAAGTCCATGGACCAACTGGAGTCTTCAAATCTAAGTCACCTATGCTCGTCACATCAAGAACCTCATCGTTCGCCAGTCTTACCTTACCCAAATCCCCTTCTTTCAGATTCCGCAGTGCTTCACGGCTGTGGGTAGCGTGAAATGAAGCACCCGAATCCATAACCCAGGAATCCACATTGCTCTCCACACTACAGATCAAAACATCATCATCTGAATGGTCTACTGCAACGTTAACTTCTTTCTTGTCTTTTGGACATTGATTCCTGAAATGTCCAACCTCTTTACAGTTCCAACAAGTCACATCATTTCGAGTCCTCGACTGACTCCTTCTCCTGTTCCCGCTCCCACTACCTCTGACCGCATTCAATTGTTCACTTGATGATTCCCCGGAATTTCTTCGTCTGACGTCTTCGCCTAGAATTAAATCCCGAATTCCCTCAAAAGTGAGCTCTTTCGATCCTGCGGAACTAGTAACGGCTGTAACTGTTCCGGACCAACTGTCAGGTAATGATGATAACAGTAGTAAAGCTTGAACTTCGTCCTCAAATTTTATTCCCACTGACCCATGTCTGGATAAAATCGAGTTCAAATTGTTGATGTGTACTGTAACTGAACTTCCTTCCCTCATCCTCGTGTTGACTAGTTCCCGAATCAGGAAGACTTTATTTGCTGCCGACGGCTTCTCGTACATATTAGACAATGCCTCCATGATTCCCTTTGCCGAGGTCTCCTTCAAAATGTTGAAGGCAACATCCTTTGACAAAGTCAGTCTAATAAATGCCTTGGCCTTCTTATCCAAAGTCTCCCAGTTTGCTTGTGTGATCGCCTCCAGTTTTTCACGTAAAACTGCGTCCAAGTCTTTCTGCACGAGCAAATCTTCAATTTGCATCTTCCACCAACCAAAATCTTTCCCATCAAACTTCTCAATCTGAAGCTTACTGCTTTCTGCCATTTTCTGAAAGATTAGGGGCTAAACTGTAATTTTCTGAAAGTGCAGGGGCTAAACTGCAATTTTCTGAAAGTTCAGGGGCTAAACTGCAATTTTTCAAATCTGCTACAGTGTTGCTACAGTGTCTGCTACAGTGTCTGCTGACATCACTGCTGCCGTCGTGCTACAGTCCTGCTACAGTGTCGTCTTCTCCGGCGGACTGCTACAGTGTCTGGTGCTACAGTGTCGTCTTCTCCGGCGGAATTGGTTTTTCCGGTCACTATTCCGGCAAACCTTTGACCGGCGATTTGGACGTCTTCCAGTGGTCAAAAAATTCAGAAAAAAATATTTTCGGAATCTTCGGAACGAGACCTTTCCAACGGTATACACCAAAATCGTTTTTGACGAAAAACAATTTCGACCAAAAACTTAAAATCACCTTCTGGAGCTACAACCTTGCTCTGATACCACTTGTTAGGATCGAGACACTTAACACACGACTCTAAACACACACAGAGCTCACGAAAAACAAGAACACAAGGATGAACACGAGGGATTTAACGTGGTTCGGTCCTTCTCTGACCTACGTCCACCAGTAACTAGGAATTTACATTTCTTGGTGCTAATCTGCACTCTTTCTGTGTTACACTAGATACAAGTTTTACAAATACAGAATAATCTCTTATATAGAGATGGAAATCAAAAGTAGTCAAAAAACACAACTGGGTCTTCATTCAACAATTGTGGTTTCACAACTTCACATTGTTCCTGCCATTTTTGACCAGCTTTTCTGTGGATTCACACTCAACATTTCTGTGGATTCACACTCAACATTTCTGTGGATTCATACTCAACAATCTCCCACTTGAAGCCACGGAACAATCTTCACCTGTGCTTCAACTGTGCATCTGTATTTGATCTTAACTCCTTCCTAGTTACCCTGGCCTTCTCTTCAATTAACCTGAAGGCCAGTTGAAGCTTTCGTTAGCTCCAACACATCAGTCATGGCTAAGTCTGCCACTGACCTGTTCTCTGTCTCCATCGGCTCCCACTGAAATGAACTGCCCGATCCTGGAACATCCTGAGAACAAACGACACTCTCCATGTGAAGCAGATAATATGGAGAGACTTTTACAGATGGAATACTGGTTCTCTTAACCCACTGTGTTCTGGGTATTCTAGCTGAAGCACAACCCTTGCTCCCACTGCTATGAATGCCCTTGACTGGTTTTTCTGAACCGTTCCAAACACGTTCAACCTGAATCTGACCTGTGACTCTGGGTTTGCCATCTACAAAGCAAACCTTCTTCTGTCCACGAGACTCTATGAACCGGATTTTGTTTTTCTTCTGAACTGGGACGGTTACTCCCTCAGATGGTAATCTGACCATATATAATGAACCCCTCTTATGTCCACGAGCTATTACAAGATTTCCTTTGACAACCTTCCACTGCCCATTCCTGAACTTAACCTCGTGTCCCTGTTCATCCAACTGCCCAACAGAAATCAACTGTTTCTTCAGACTTGGAATTACCCGGACATCCTTCAAAGTCCATGGACCAACTGGAGTCTTCAAATCTAAGTCACCTATGCTCGTCACATCAAGAACCTCATCGTTCGCCAGTCTTACCTTACCCAAATCCCCTTCTTTCAGATTCCGCAGTGCTTCACGGCTGTGGGTAGCGTGAAATGAAGCACCCGAATCCATAACCCAGGAATCCACATTGCTCTCCACACTACAGATCAAAACATCATCATCTGAATGGTCTACTGCAACGTTAACTTCTTTCTTGTCTTTTGGACATTGATTCCTGAAATGTCCAACCTCTTTACAGTTCCAACAAGTCACATCATTTCGAGTCCTCGACTGACTCCTTCTCCTGTTCCCGCTCCCACTACCTCTGACCGCATTCAATTGTTCACTTGATGATTCCCCGGAATTTCTTCGTCTGACGTCTTCGCCTAGAATTAAATCCCGAATTCCCTCAAAAGTGAGCTCTTTCGATCCTGCGGAACTAGTAACGGCTGTAACTGTTCCGGACCAACTGTCAGGTAATGATGATAACAGTAGTAAAGCTTGAACTTCGTCCTCAAATTTTATTCCCACTGACCCATGTCTGGATAAAATCGAGTTCAAATTGTTGATGTGTACTGTAACTGAACTTCCTTCCCTCATCCTCGTGTTGACTAGTTCCCGAATCAGGAAGACTTTATTTGCTGCCGACGGCTTCTCGTACATATTAGACAATGCCTCCATGATTCCCTTTGCCGAGGTCTCCTTCAAAATGTTGAAGGCAACATCCTTTGACAAAGTCAGTCTAATAAATGCCTTGGCCTTCTTATCCAAAGTCTCCCAGTTTGCTTGTGTGATCGCCTCCAGTTTTTCACGTAAAACTGCGTCCAAGTCTTTCTGCACGAGCAAATCTTCAATTTGCATCTTCCACCAACCAAAATCTTTCCCATCAAACTTCTCAATCTGAAGCTTACTGCTTTCTGCCATTTTCTGAAAGATTAGGGGCTAAACTGCAATTTTCTGAAAGTGCAGGGGCTAAACTGCAATTTTCTGAAAGTTCAGGGGCTAAACTGCAATTTTTCAAATCTGCTACAGTGTTGCTACAGTGTCTGCTACAGTGTCTGCTGACATCACTGCTGCCGTCGTGCTACAGTCCTGCTACAGTGTCGTCTTCTCCGGCGGACTGCTACAGTGTCTGGTGCTACAGTGTCGTCTTCTCCGGCGGAACTGGTTTTTCCGGTCACTATTCCGGCAAACCTTTGACCGGCGATTTGGACGTCTTCCAGTGGTCAAAAAATTCAGAAAAAAATATTTTCGGAATCTTCGGAACGAGACCTTTCCAACGGTATACACCAAAATCGTTTTTGACGAAAAAAAATTTCGACCAAAAACTTAAAATCACCTTCTGGAGCTACAACCTTGCTCTAATACCACTTGTTAGGATCGAGACACTTAACACACGACTCTAAACACACACACAGCTCACGAAAAACAAGAACACAAGGATGAACACGAGGGATTTAACGTGGTTCGGTCCTTCTCTGACCTACGTCCACCGGTAACTAGGAATTTACATTTCTTGGTGCTAATCTGCACTCTTTCTGTGTTACACTAGATACAAGTTTTACAAATACAGAATAATCTCTTATATAGAGATGGAAATCAGAAGTAGTCAAAAAACACAACTGGGTCTTCATTCAACAATTGTGGTTTCACAACTTCACATTGTTCCTGCCATTTTTGACCAGCTTTTCTGTGGATTCACACTCAACATTTCTGTGGATTCATACTCAACAGCTCTGCGTTCCATAACTCCTTAATTTTGGTTTTCCTATGGTTTTCTTGTTGCTGACGTACATTTTGTTTTTCCTATTACAATTTAATAATCTCACAGGATGAATTTGTATGATATGAATTTGGTACCGGGTGTAGGCATGTGACAAGGGGCATAATGTCAAAATGACAAGAATATATGGAGTGGCCAGAAGATGTGTTGCCGGAGCAATTAACAATTACACCACTCAGCTACTCGACTATGGCAAACAAACATCTCAGTGTAATTAATTTCACAAATTTCTTCATCTGATTCTTTGCTTCTAGATTTTTTCAACTTTGAAGATGAAAAACATTATTATATATTTGCAGATAATCTCACAGAAGCGCTGCTCTTTCTTTCTCATTTCATGGGAGATATTCATCAGGTATGTGATAGTAATCAATTTCACTTTATTATCTAATAAGTTAAAAGACTAAATTGCCCCTGTTACAACGGCTACATGTAGGATTCACTTCGGATAGAAGTGGGAACACGATTAATGTTCACTGGTTCACAAGAAAATCAGAACTTCATCATGTAAAACTCCTAAAATAGTTACCATTATGTAATCTAAATTAAGAGTCTGTTTTAACTTGAAAATAAGTTTTAACTTGAAAATAAGTTTCTCACCAATCACACCATCTTCATTTTGATTGCAGTGGCTTTCAAATCCAGGGAGGACCACAGGAAACAGATGGAACTTGAAGAAGCCCGAAAAACTCCTGCAGAAGTTGATGAAGATGGAAAAGAAATTAATCCACATATTCCTCAGTATATGTCAATGCAGAGAGACCTGTACGCCTTTTTCCATTTTCTTTTTCTTGCATTCTCATGAATCAGGTCACCATATAACTAAAAGTAAAACCATCTTTTTTGTGTCCTGAAGAGTTTAAAACATCAAAAGAAATGGAAGTCAGATCCCAATTACACAAAGTCATGGTATCACAGAGGAGCAAAAATATACCAAGCTGATAAGTACAGAAAGGGTGCATGCGAAAAGTAAGCAAATTTTATTTTACTTTTCTAGTTTTTATAACTTGATTGCTAAATTTATTAATTGTTTTAAGCTGTGGAGCTATGAGACACACAACCAAGACATGCATGGAGAAGCCACGTAAGCTAAAATAGTGACTTTTGAGCTTGATTATGATGGAAAAGAGACAGGTGGAATGGGTATGATGCAGCATCTTATGCTCATGTGATTGAACGATATGAAGCTCGTGATGAAGCTAGAAAGAAATTCTTGAAAGATCAACAACTTAAGAAGTTAGAGGAAAAGGGTAACACTCAAAATGTGGAAGAAGCTGTTAGTGATGATGAAGATAATGAAGATGCATTAAAAGTTGATGAAGCCAAAGTTGATGAGAGTAAGCAGATGGATTTTGCAAAGTGGAAAAACGTGTCAGGACTACAGGTGGTGGTAGCACGGGTACTGTTAGGTGAGTCAATAAAAAAATTTAGAAACTTTTTGTCATCCAAGATTTTACATTTGTAATTCCTTTTTTACCCCTATGTTCAGGAATCTGCGAATTCGAGAAGATACAGCAAAATACCTTCTGAATCTTGATGTAAACTCTGCACATTATGATCCGAAAACTCGATCCATGCGTGAGGATCCGCTTCCAGATATGGATCCAAATGAGAAGTTCTATGTTGTGAGTAATAACCTTTATTGATTTATCTTTATTTATTTATTTATTTTTTATAAATATTTTCTCAAAAATTAATATTATTATATGTTGTTGAATTGCAGGGGGATAACCAGAATAGAGTAAGTGGACAAGCATTGGAGTTCAAGCAACTGAACATTCATGCATGGGAAGCATTTGAGAAGGGTAATGTTTCTAGTAGTGATTGAATGGCGTATATGTTTTTTTATGGGTTAGAGTTCGAACGCAGCTGCCATTACATTAGAATAAATAATTGTTTTTTTTATGGGTTATTGGTATGTACAGGTCTGATGCAAAATTGTTTTGTTTATGAATTTGACGATTTTGCCCTTGGTGATGATTTGGGATTTTGGCACACCAAGCAACAACCAAAAACAGAAAATTGAGTAGAATTACATGTTCTCAAGGGTATATATGTCAGTTTTTTGTCACTACAGGTCTAGAAAGATGAACTCTAATGCATCAATTAAATAATTAAACAACAAAAAACTTAAAACATGACAGTTATGACAGATTACACAGGACAACAAATCTGGAAATTTGTCCAAACCAAACAAACAGAAACAGAACCAAATCAAAAAACAAAAACAGATGTTACAAAACCAAATCTGGAAAGTGGGTAGAAAAATTTTAGAGGATTTTTGATGAATTTAGAAGGAATTTTAATGAGTTTTTCTAAATAAAAGAGAAGAGAACACGATCATCCTAAAATGGAATTACCCTTTTAGCCCTTTTAATTTAAAAGTAACTCAATTTTACTAACAAACCTCAACCGTATGGATGGGATCAAATGACCGCCACTACCATCCATTTGCTTTATATAATATATTATATTAATTAATAACTATAACAAAACCTTTCTTTGTTAAAGGATGGACATGGACTTATTCTTTGTGGATGAGTCCTCGCCTCTTTTAATTAAGACAAATTTTAGAAAGGACAATTGTACATGGATATCAAAGTAAAAGAAATGTTGAAACTATAGTTTTGTTTTCTGATACATATGGTCAAGTTGTTTCAATTGTAGTCAACAATAATAAATTACTTTTATCATTTTTATAAAGCAATTGTTAACATTTTAAGTGTTTATCTTGTGTTGCAACTACACTTTCGTTTCTGATACATATGGTTAATATGCTTCAACTGTAGTCGAAGAAATCACACCATCCAGGGCAAAATTCAACCTAAAATCTAAGAACTAACACTTAAACACATAATAACACAAACCTAAATCTAATTTTCAAGTATAACCACTTAAATTTAAAGGTTTCGAAAAAATAAAGAAAGTTATGGTTTTACCTTCAAAAGACGATTTGGGGAAGAAGAGGTTTAACTAAAAGGCGTTGAGTATAGCTCCGGTCGAAAAACTAAAAAAAGTTACGGTTATACATGAAATACTTTTATCTTACCAAAATATGTATTACGGACATACATATATACACATGCACTATATAGAATGTATAATGATAAAAAATGTTTTGAGTAATGTGTTATGGTGGTGTGTACAGTTACGTATGTATATATCATGCATAACTTGGTAAACTAAATCAATTCATGTATAATGAAGTTGTACAAAATATTGAAGGAAAAAATAAATGTTTCATATTTTAATATTAGAAAATGGATTATGTTCCTAAGAAATCCTTAGGAAATATGTGGGAACTTCCTATGGATTTCCGAGGAAATACAATAATCTTCACAAATTTATAGGAAATGCATAGGAAGTTCCAAGGGATTTCCTAGGAATCAAACTCATTTTTACATTCTTATAGGTTCAAACGTTATTTTTTATTCGTTCCATACTTTGTGCAACTTTGTTATACATGAAATACTTTTATCTTACCAAAATATTTATTATGCACATACATATATACACATGCACTATATAGAATGTATAATGATAAAGAAATGTTTTGAGTAATGTGTTATGGTGGTGTGCACACTTACGCATGCATATATCATGAATAACTTGGTAACTACACACATTTCATGTATAATGAAGTTGTACCAAAATATTGAACAAAAAAATAAATGTTTCATATTTTAATATTAGAAAATGGATTATGTTCCTAGGAAATCCTTAGGAAATATGTGGGAACTTCCTATGGATTTCCGAGGAAAGACAATAATCGTCACAAATTTATAGTAAATGCATAGGAAGTTCCAAGGGATTTCCTAGGAATCAAACTCATTTTTACATTCCTATAGGTTCAAACGTTACTTTTTATACGTTCCATACTTTGTGCAACTTTATTATACATGAAATACTTTTATCTTACCAAAATTTGTATTATGCACATACGTATATACACATGCACTATATAGAATGTATAGTGATAAACAAATGTTTTGAGTGATGTGTTATGGTTGTGTGCACACTTACGTATGTATATATCATGCATAACTTGGTAAACAAAAAACAATTCATGTATAATGAAGTTGTACAATATATTTAACGAAAAAATTAATGTTTCATATTTTAATATTAGAAAATGGATTCTGTTCCTAGAAAATCCTTAGGAAATATGTGGAAACTTCTGATGGATTTCCGAGGAAATACATTAATCGTCACAAATTTGTGGGAAATACATAGGAAGTTCTAAGGGATTTCCTAGGAATCAAACTCATTTTTTCATTCTTATTATTTTTTATTCATTCCATACTTTGTGCAACTTTGTTATACATGAAATACTTTTATCTTATCAAAATATGTATTATCCATATACATATGTACACATACACTACATAGAATATATAATGATAAACAAATGTTTTGAGTAATGTGTTATGGTGGTGTGCATATTTATGTATGTATATATCATGCATAACTTGGTAAATTAAAAACAATTCATATATAATGAAGTTGTACAAAATATTGAACGAAAAAATATATGTTTCAACTTTTAAAATTTGAAAATTCATTTTGTTCATAGGAAATCGCTAGGAAAAATGTGAGAACTTCCGATGGATTTCCTAGGAAATACATTATTCGTCACAAATTTCTAGGAAATGCATACGAAAAAATAGACGTTTCAATCTCCAATTTTAAAAAAATGGATAATGTTCCTAGGAAATCCCTTGGAAAATGAGGAAACATCCTTTCTAGTAGTGAAGTGTAGTAACAGTGATGGTTTAATTTGTTCCTAGCTAGGAAATTCCTCGGAAATTGATCATTTATAAGCTTGTTCCTAGCTAGGAAATTCCTCGGAAATATGGAGGAAAGTATAGTAAGTATAACATTCGTAGGAAAAGTGTAGGAACAATGACTATATTCTCTACTCAAACTCGATATGATTTATTTTGTTACAAGAAAAAAATTGTTAAAAAAAAATATTACCAAGGAAATACCGAGGAAAGTTGGGTATTTATAAAGATACTAGGAAAAGTGTAGGAAATACCGAGGGAATACCGAGGAAAGTGTAGTTTGTACAACCTCCATAGGAAAAGTGTAGGAACAATGAGTGTGTTCTCTACATAAACTTGATATGATTTTTTTGTTGCAGTAAAAAAAATTGTTAAAAAAAATATTACTAAGGAAACACCGAGGAAAGTTATATATTTATAAATATCCTAAGAAAAGTGTAGGAACTTCGAGGGATTTCCGAGGAAAGCGCGTTTATGGTTATTCCTTAGATTTTCCTCAGTAATTCGTAGGTAATACCGAGAAAATCCTTTTCCTCGGAAATATTCGTAGGAAATCCCTCCTTTTTCTAGTAGTGTTACTTTCATTCTTAGATCATTTGAAAATCCCCTTTTATGAATACAAATAAATAGTTTTTACAAATTTTGTGTTTAATTATTCAGAAAAGAAATGAGATGAAGGTACTTCGTGTTGCCAATATTGAAAGTTTCAAACAGTTACCAACCCACAAAGTATATTCAAGTTCTTCATGTACCATAGATATACATCCAATTACTGTTGAACGTCTCATCCAAGGGCATCTAAGAAGCAAATTAATAAGTTCTCAATATGAGCATAAATTTAATAGCCATACCACAATTTTATGATACTAAATATCTTTGCCTTCTCGTGCAGTCAAACACATACTGAATTAAAGATGAAACACAAACAAAATCAATACCTTGTGAACTCAAATATATATAGTTTAAGGTGACTTGTATATTCAAGGCAACTGAACACTGAGGTTGGGCGGTAATTGAAGGTGGGATTTCATGGCGGATGACAAAGATGCCTACCGCAATGCAAAAATCATGAGAATCATGGCAACTCTGCAATTATGTTTTAGTCTTTTCTTCAATCACATAAACCAAATCAACAAAATACTGAATAAATAAAGCAATCAAAACAACACTGCGACTTATATCATATTCCTCACATGTGTATTAACCGAAATCAAGTTATCTTCCAGTCTCTTTACCCTTCTCATTATACACATATATATAATACAAATTGCAAAGAATGGGCCGGATATACAAAGGGTCGAGAGATAACATACAAACATACATTTAAATACTAATATACTAACATTAACTATTGTTTTCACTTACACAATCAATGAAAAAAAAAATAAAAAAAAAGACTATGAAAACAGAAGCCCATAACATTTTACATATGGTCACCAAATGCGACAACCAGCAAACCATCTTAATTCTTATGGAAAATTAGGATATAACTCATTGGGTTTCACTTGATTGATTTAAAGTAGTTCAGTTACATGCATGCAGCCTCTCTTTCTCAAGCAGTTTCAGGTGAAGAATGATACCTTGAAGATTCCCCCTTACCCTATGATCAATAAAGGAAAAGTAAAAGTTAAATAAGTATATAGAGATATGATGATAACATATTTGGTTGTGTGTGCATTTTTATTCTGGGATGATAGAAAGGTTTGGGTGTGAAAAAGTATACCTCACGTGTGCTGCCAATTATGCCAGGATTCCTTTGAGATAAAGCTCTAAACCAGGACCTTTTCTTTCGTTCTGAACACAAGTAGTATTGACCATAAATATATTTATATGGTCCAGCATATCAAGACATAGTCAACTGACATAACAAATTGACCCATTTAGACCGGATCAATACTGGTTTCATTCATTTAAAAATTAAAAGTACAACTTTGGTTTTTATATTTGGGTCATAAGTTCCATTTGCTTAAAAGATTTAAGTTATGATCCATCTATTAAAAAAGTTGGGTCAAGGATGAAATCATTATACATGAGACATGACAATAAGAATATATTTAATAAAAATGACATCTACCTTGATAGTCGGGCCGTCCGTAATGAATTTACGGTGATAGGGATACAATTTAATGTAAGGCAGAAAAAAATGATTGTAGTTTAGGATGTATTGTCCTGTTGTTGTTTGAAAATGAGAGAGATCTCCACCAATTATGTGATTCCATGACTTGTAATATCCCAATGCATC